AACCATGTAACCCTATCTCTCAATATATCAACAACCATAAGAACACACATATACCAAATAGAGCAGGTTTAATTTATGAAGTGAAATGTGAAAAATGTGACCAATGTTATGTAGGACAAACATCCAGAACTTTAAAAGAAAGAATGAAAAACCATGAATATTCTCTGAAATGGGATAAAATTGAGAATTCTGCACTTGTAGAACATAGAAAAATCACAGGACATAAAAATTTTAACCTAAACGAAACAAAGATACTAGATTATGAGAAAAATTATTTTAAGAGACAATTTAAAGAAGCATTTTCATTCAAAAGAAATGTGCTACAACTAACAGAATGGAAGAAAGAGGAAATATAAATGATATTTATAGATATGCTTTTAATTATATTTGAAAAAACTTAATTCTAAGAATAATAATCATCAGGTGTTTATCCCATCTGTTTATCAGACAAATATCTTCTTATCTGTTATCTTGTTTACACACTTGATACCAGGAACTATTTAAAAGCATGCTGTGGTAAAATTCTCTCATTCAGTACTTTTGTCTGAAGATGGTAACAACGCTGTTACCGAAACGTCACACACTATTTTTTTATTTGGATTTGGTCTTATTACCTTGTGTTTATAATCTATAATCCAAATTGTGCCTTATCAATTTAATCATGAAAATAAAAAATAAATATAAAAAAGTACACACACAATGGTTTCAATTAATATCATTAATTTATATTACAAAGCTATTTATAAAAATATATATATTATTTTAGCTAGTTAGATGATTAGCTAATCATCTAACCTTAATTCAACACTTCCTTTAATTCAACCGAAAGCTCTGATCCCTTGGCGTGTTGAATTAAAGAGGTTCGACTGTATTTAAAAACATGCTGTGGTAAAATTTCTCATTCAGTACTTTTGTCTGAAGATGGTACCGAAACGTCACACACTATTTATTTATTTGGATTTGGTCTTATTACCTTGTGATTATTTATATTCATTATTTTTATTTTGCAACACTGTTCAGCAAGAGTCGGATGACACAAATTTCAAAGCAAACCTTATTTATTAACTAAAGGAGATTTGAATGACCTCGTACGTGATTTGCATTTATCAAAAAAAAAAAAAAACAGATTGAACTTTCAGCTTCTAGGTTAAAAGGTTGGAATCTGCTGCATAAGGACACAAAAGTATGCTTTTTTCGAAAACAATAAATATAATTTCAAGACTTTTCACAAGAAAATAACTCAGTGTACTGCAATGATGTTGTTAGTCTAATGGATGCGCTTGGTCACAAACATAATACAGAAGAGTAGCACATCAATTCCTCTAAAGTTAGTTTGAAATCTGTTCTCCTTCACAACAGTAATAAGTTCCCCTCGGTGCCAATAGCACACACATTCAACATGAAAATTACAAAAGCATGAAACTGCTATTGAAAAGGTTAGAGTACAACAGATATATCTGGAAAATCTGTGGTGGCTTGAAAGTCATTGCTCTCTTGGTTGGTTTACAGCTTGGTTATACAAAATTTTGTTGTTTTCTGTGTAGAGACAAGGTAAGGCGTTATATCAAAAATAACTGACCAAACAGTAAAACCCTTCTTATTCCTAGAATTTAAAATATTGCCCATTTTCCATTGGTAAAATCTGAAAATATAATAATAACTGCCACTACATATTAAACTAGGATTAATGAAGAACTATGTCAAGGCAATGAATCCAAATGCTGCTGGGTTTGCCTATTACCTCTATCTATAATACCAATATCTTAAATAGAACTGAAGTATGGTGAATGGGGTTGGAATCCTTGAGTGACAACCAGGGCAATGGACTGGGGGAAAGTAGATTCACAAAGACTTGTCTTTCAGGTGGTCACAATGGAGTGGTAAGTGGCTGAATTGATAGCATCAAAGCTAGGTAGCCTAGCTACACAGGACATACAGTTATCTATTTGACCCTGTTTGGACTTTCCTTTATCTGTCTCACCTACATAACTGTCGGCCCAACACTTCCTGCTCTCTCTGAAATATACAGATCTTCCTCTCCTGCAATAAACTGCTTCCTTCCTTCCAACTTGTAACTTGGATCCACCACATAGTAGCTTTTTAATAAACTCTCTCATAGGATTCTGGCACATTCCAACCATATTGCATACAAATAACCAAGCAGGATTCTAACAAAGTGCAAAGTTGAACTATTTTTACAAACATATTGGGTGTTAACCCAATTATTGACAATTCTCTATTTAGCATGGTTACTATTAGCCATGAACTACTTGTCCTTTTAAGGAATACATTTTAAAGATTATTTGGTAAAATATATATTTGTAAATATACAAGTTTTTGTTTAACATTTTGACAACCCTTGTTCTCTTAAAGGTTTATATGGTGTCTCTATCTAGAACTACCAGTCCTACAACATGCCAACTACATAAAAAGCGCAAAGCTTTTTCGAGCATTACTGCCCTTACACAGGATAAAAATTGAAGACCTATTAAATATGAATTGTTTATATACATATCTGCATATTTACATATATTAGGAGGTGTTCGTTTAAAAAAAAGAGAGAGGTTCTGACAGAAATATATAATTATAAGAGTATATATGCAAAATTGTGTTTAGAGTAGAAAATGAACTATAGAGAAAATTGTGCAAGAGAGAGAGACTATTTTGTTGTATAATTAAATAAAACTCAATGAAGGCTGTGACAGAAAGCTATGTGTTAAACTATTAGGGAATACAGTCGAACCTCTTTAATTCAACACCCCAAGGGATCAGAGCTTTCGGTTGAATTAAAGGAAGTGTTGAATTAAAATGTGTTGCTAAAATAATATTTTTTAAAAAATGCTTTGTAATATAAATTAATGATATTAATTGAAACCATTGTATGTACTTTTTGTATTTATTTTTTTTTTATTTTAATGATTAACTTTTAGTATCAGGGACAAAATGACAATAATACATATTTTGAAACATAAATAATTACATATAATATTTTATTCTAATTGAAGAATAATAGCAGTTGAAAGGAAATAAATATGGAAAATAAAAATAAAATTTAAAAATAATTATGAAGATATTTTTAAAAATTCCTTTATGGATATCTGTTTTTGCACTGAAATCCTATTCAGGATGTATTCCAGATGGTCTATTAAAAAAAAAAAAAAAAAACATGCATGTCCTTTTTCCTCTGGAATGTGTTTTAACCCTTAGTTACTCGTGCCTATTTTACTGACGTTAGTACTCAGGCGGGGTCTCTTAAACCCCAATATTCTACAATGAATAAAATCCTTAAAAAATAAAATATGGAAATAAATTTTGCTTGCAGCCAAAAGAATACAGTCTCTAGTTTACAAATATACAGTAAAACTTCGCTAATATGAACCCTGGATATAGAGAACCTTCCCTTATAACGAACCCACGGCGATTCCCAATTCCATTCCATTGAAAATACCTCCGTTATAACGAACTTTCCGATTTTTAAAATAACGAACTACCCCTATAACGAACCTATTTTCGGTCCCAAAATGATAAAATCTATTAAAAATACTATGCTTTTAACAAACTTAAAATTGTGATTTAAAAAATTTTTAAAACAACAAAATTTTGAGCATGTTTCAGCTCACGGATCGCGATTTCAAAACAAAAAATTAGCGGCATTGTTTGTTCTCATTTCCATTCTATTTTTGCTGTATGTTGTATAAATTTTTACACATTATACTTTTATTTAATAGAATATCTTTGCATTCGAAAAATTTTGAAATAGAAGAAAATACAAATGGCTTCCAAAATAAAGAAAAGAAACAAAGAGGGGCGTTCTAAAAAAAAAAACAGTGGCAGCATGCCCTTTTAGAATCGTTCTATAACAAGTTTAACCTAGGCTAAAAAATAATTCCAAATAATTTTAAAGCCAGAAATGGTTCGAATAACAGGTTAAAAACAAAATTTAATATACACTTCAGAAGAATATGTGGAAACTGGAATTGGAAGAAGAAGAAAAAAAAAACAGTTCCCCCAAGTTCCCTGTGTCTCATGGGCCACAAACAAATCGACTTATTCTCAAAAACTACCACTACAGTTCTATTTTTAGAATGGAATTCTTGTTAGGTATATGACTCATTCAGGGTTCGCGGATATTACCTCTGGCCGGCCGTTTTACCACCGATTTTGTATTTGCAAATTGGCGTTTTTTATTCGCAATTTTACCGATCGCGCTATATTATCAACATGTTTCGCGTCCGATTTATCTGAATTGAATACTTTTAATTCATCTTCAATTGATTCAGAATACACGGAGCTTCATTCCTTTGATGGAAATAACGATATTTTAAGACAATTCTGATTTTCAAATTTCACTTTTCACTTTCAAACAACAAGCAAGGTATTAGAGGCATTTTTCAAATAAATATAGTATTATATTATTTGAGAAAGATGTTCTAAAATACCCTTATACCTTTTAAATATATAATTAATAATGTTTTGCCTAGGGAAATCTGGTTTAATTTTTAAATAATACATAGGTTTATATTAAGAAAAAGGCATCTCCTTATCGTGCAACTGAAAGTTGCTGATGGCTGGCTCCATCTATCGGAATAAATATCAACTATTCTCGTTGATTTTTAATTATTTCAGAATTGGCCAAATACCCATTCTTGATTAATCAAGAAAAGCTAACCACGGACGCGTTTCGGGCTGTTGGCCCTCATCAGCGTGGTGCAAGCTGTACCTCAACGACCAAAAAATTGGTCATTAAGGCATCCTGAAAAATCATGGAATAGTTGATATTTATTCCGATAGATGGCGCCAGCCATCAGCAACTTTCAGTTGCACGATAAGGAGATGCCTTTTTCTTAATTTATGCACCTTATCCCAGTACAATGTTACATTTGTACAATTTTTTCACATAGGTTTATATATAAACACTAGACGAATGACCCGGGCAACGCCCGTGTTTTACCCGATTGGATGTTTTGATTCAAATACTATTTGTTACAATTATAAATTGTGGTCATGTGGCCTAGTGGTCATGGCATCTGCCCGGTAAGCGGAAGGTCGTGGGTTCGATCCCCATCCCTTGGCACTTTTTTATTTTATCCATTCTGAACAAAATCTATCCGTGAACTTCACACAGACAGAATAAGGCAATTATATAAGTAGATGTATGCTAATGATAAGAAGGACCTATTAACAAATGACTTATTTTGATGTTCAGCATTACTGTAAAGAAATAGGTCAATTTAGGGAATTAAAACAAAGTGACCATTATTAAGTGGCTGCCTTTTCCTGTTTGTATGGCTGTTTTTTAATTATACGGTCTAAAAATTTAGAAAAGTTAAAAAAAAAATGGCCAAACCGTGGCTATAGTGAACCAAAAGCTCTGTCCCATTGGGGTTCACTATAGAGTGGTTTTACTGTATCAATTTTTTATAAAAATTACACTATTAATTATTTTTATCTGATAAAATTAGTAATATGGCAAAAATTCTAAACTATCAATATATTCAAACAATTTCCTTAAAAATATAAATGGAAATCTAAATTATTCTTGTGCACACCTCTTGCAAAGTGTTGTTGAGTGTTCAGTTTAAATGTTCTTAGCGCATTTAGCACATGTAATTTTGGATTTTCGGTCTTTGTATCGATCACAAAATCGGCAACCCCTCCTTTTCGCTGATGATGACTCTGACTTATTTTCTTCCTAAAGAAACAAGAACTTAATATCTCTCAATTAATTATAGCATTTCATGACTTTGCTTGTTGTGGTTCATCTGTAGTAGCATGTGCGGATATAATATTTTTGATATCTTTTGGCAGAAACAATTTCCCGTTTTGTTAGGTTCGGGTCAATTAGCCAAAATGCAATCTCTTCAATAAACGATCTTCTTTTAAATATTTCCAATTTTTGTTCATTTTATATACAACTTTTGTTGAAACAATGATTAAATAAAAAGAGACACAATGGCCACCTCCTTGTCCTTCTACTTACTGTGGAATTTTACACAATTGATCAACTACATTAATACCTTATTTTGTTTCATTACAATATTTTCCACCAGATTCAGAATCTATTTGTTTTGTGGAGACGATCATTGAAATTAAAATAACTGCTTTGGACTTTTTTGTGGTACATACAAAACCAGTCTACTCTCTCTTTCCTTGACTCCAAAAATGAAAGTGTGGGTTGAACGTAGCTTTTGTAGCAAAATAATTGGGGGAAATTTTCATTTTATTTTTATTCAATGTTCCTAAAAAACTAAGTCATAGATAAAGGATATAAATTATTGCCGAGATATAAGGTAGCTTAACTATTTCCCCATGCTTGAAAATTAAAGTTACGTTATTACTCGCGCGTAGTCCAATGGACCCCAACTCCACGGTATTGTCTATTATAGCTCAACAAAATTATGTTAATATAGGTTTGCATATTCATTGTCATATAAAATTAAGCTACTAAAGTTTTGATCTCCAAATGTTTTATAGAATTCTAGATATTTAATGAAATAAGTCTGTCTGTGGTCTATCAGACCCAGCGCGAGTACTTAAGGGTTAAATAACAAAGAGCTTTTATTGTATTAAAGGTATCCACTGCTGCTGCAGGTGTTATTGATTTTGTGTTTAAATCTTTTATAATAACATGGAAATGGAATATTAAAATAAAATGTTATCATAATCATTGTGGCTACATTTTATGAAGATTTATTTATTTAAAAGGAAATTATTTGTAAATTTTTAAATAACTAAAATATTTTTAAATGCTGAAAATTAAAAAGAAAATATTATTATTAATAGCACACGAAGCCTAAATCCCTGTGTAAAAAAAAACAATAACACTCGCGACATTGAAAAAAGGGCACTGCAAAGTGAAACTTAAACTAACAGAAACCAAAAGTGCGCAGGCGCGATCCTATCGGCGCCCGCCAATCGCCGCTTGCCGCCGCCATAATACCATTTTAGCGGTAAAGTTGTATGTAAAAAAAAACATTCAACTGTCGAAATTTGAATTTTAAAATGGTCGAACTATCGGAACTGTCGTATTATCGATACTGTTGAATTACGGTTTGTTATTTGATAGGTCGGAGGTTGGGACATCAGAATATGGTCGAATTAAGGTAGAGTGTCGAATTTGCGTGGTCGAATTAACGAGGTTATACTGTAGAGTGAAAAAGCAGACATCTCTAAAGGAATTTTTAAAAAGATTTATATTCATGATTATTTTTAAATATTATTTTTAAATTTTCTTTTTATTTTCCATATTTATTTCCTTTCAACTGCTATATTCTTCAATTAGAATAAATTTTATTTGTAATTATTTATGTTTCAAAAATATTTATTATTGCCATTTTGTCCCTGATACTAAAAGTTAATCATCAAAATAAAAAAAATAAATACAAACAAGTACACATACAATGGTTTCAATTAATATCATTAATATATATTACAAAGCAATTTTTTAAAAATATTATATTCGTGAGTTAGATGATTAGCTAATCATCTAACCTTAATTCAACACTTCCTTGAATTCAACCAAAAGCTCTGATCCCTTGGGGTGTTGAATTAAAGAGGTTCGACTGTGATATATTACTATATTTGGATAAGGTATCTTGTTATCTTATGATAGTAATTCTACAGCCCAATTCAACTGTAGTTATAACAAAAGCCTGGATCCAAGTGATATTGTTATAAAGATGGTTGACTAATGTAATTAGAGAGAGTTCTCTTTTATATCTTTGAAATAAACTTTTCATTAAAACTAAGGCTATAGATTCAGATGAAGAATAAAGAGAACTACATTTTTTAGGCCTTTAAAAATATATCCTAATACAGTAGAACCTCCATGAGAGGACACTCATGCTAGAGGACACCTCTCTATAAAGGACAGTTTTCATTTGGACGATAAAAACATGGCGAAGGAAGACAAGTTTCTTTTATTGATGCATTAGAGCAAGCTTTCGGGCAAAAGCCCTTCAACAGGCAAGATAAAAACGACACTATGAACGATACCGATGGCTGTAGGGAATATATACATACACATATTAATTTACATAAATATAGAAAAAAGCATGCAAATGAGCAATTTTAACTATTTGTAAAAAATAAAAATCATAGAGGATAATTCAAGAGATGCAAAACCATAGCTGAAGGAAAGAAATATTAATGAAGCATAAAATATGTCTGAAATGAAGTACAGTAAAACCCCTCTATAGTGAACCCCAATGGGACAGAGCTTTTGGTTCACTATAGCCACGGTTCACTATAGCCACGGTTTGGCTATTTTTTTTTTACTTTTCAAAAATTTCAGACCGTATAATTAAAGGACAGCCATACACACAGGAAGAGGCTTCCTCTTAATAGTGGTCACTTTGTTTTAATTCCCTTAATTGACCAATTTCCTTACATTAATACTGAATAATAATAGAAATCATTAGATGATGGTTCTTCTTATCATTAACATACATGTACCTCTATGTCCAATTTAAAAATCAAGACAAATCCTAGGCAAAGTTTTATTAAATATATATTCAAAGATATAAAATGATTTTAAAGCATCATTATCACATTATATAATACATTGTTTACTTGGAAAAATGGCTCTAACACCTTGTTGCTTCAAAACATTCTTCAAGCATTGCACCATTCAAATAAAGTTAGTGTTTTTCTTCCATTTCATTTTCCCACATATTCTTCTAGGTCTAGATTTCGTTTTTTTTTTTTTTTAACCTGTCATGCAAAACATTGCTGACTTTAAAATCACCTTAGTTAATGGCATAAAAATAGTTTTTGTTTCATCACGGGACCATTTATTTGGATTTTTTTTTTTTTAGCCCTAAAACGTACGATCCCGATCGCGGCAAAAGTTGAGGTTGATTTCTCTTTGTAACAATTTTTAATAGCTTTATATTTTATCTTTTATAATAGAAAAGTTATATTATCTTATTTTAATATGTTCTTAACATTTTGCCTGTGTTGTTTCACTTTGAAAAGTTCTGAAAATGGCCTTTTTTTTTTTTTAAAGAAATAACGCTTTTGTTTTTAAAATGCCTTTGTTTTCTTCATTTTGGAAGCCATTTGTATTTTTATATTTCAAATTTAATGGATGCAAATATATTCTATTTAATAAAAAGTATAATGTGTTAAAATTTATACAACATACAGCAAAAATAAAGTGCAAAATTCAAAACAAACAATGCCGCTAAATGTATTGTTTTGAAATCGCGATCCGCGAGCAGAAACATGCTAAAAATTTGGTTGTTTTATTTTTTTTTAATTACAATTCTAAGTTCGTTATAAGCATAGTATTTTAAATAGATTTTATTATTTTGGGACCGAAAATAGGTTCGTTATAGGGGTAGTTCGTTATTATAAAAATCGCAAAGTTCGTTATAACGATGGTATTTTCAATGGAATGGAATTGGGAATCGGCGTGGGTTCGTTATAAGGGAAGGTTCGTTATATCCAGGGTTCGTCTTAGCGGGGTTTTACTGTATTAAGTATTTAAAAGAAAAAAAATTACATAAAGGCCAGGAGAGCTTGATATGCGTCGGGAAGGTCAATTTTACGGTTAAAAACATGAGGAAAGTTTAAATAAAGGACAGGAGAGGATGATAAGCTTCTGGAAGTTCTATTTTTCTATTGATGCTGTTCAGTTTGTGGGATACTATGGATTCTAGAATGAGTCTCTGGTGTAAGATATGTATGTGCCTCTAATGTATGGTGGGGTTATTGATGTTGAAAGTGTGGCCTGTGCTCTGCATATGTTGATAAATGAGGGACCTGGTATCTTGCCTGGAAATATTACGGGAATGTTCAGTCATCCTGATGGACACAGATCTACCCGTCTCACCAATGTAAGTGGCAGGACACTGTTCACATGAGACGGAGTAGACTGCGCTCACAGAACGAAGGGGATCAGGAGGAGCTGAGGACTTAGTATGAGGATGACGGAGGGATGAAAGAAGGTTCGGGGAGTTTTTATATATGGTACGGATGCCATAGGATTTAAGATTTCTGGCTATATCAACTGAGGAGGGGGAGTAAGGGAGAAAACACAATGATCTGTAAGTCATGGATGGATTAGAAGATGT